AAAAAAAAAAAAAAAAAAAATTAATCTAATAAAGAGAAATTGTGCGACAGGACTCCGAGAGTCGTGGCATAATTGGATTTTATTTGATACTTGAACCCAACTTTTTCTTTGCGAAATTACAACCTTGTTGTTACTTGCGACAATATCATCGTGTGTGAAACTCACACTTCTTGCGTGTATGTGTGTTATATGTATATCATAAATATATATGTGAAAAAACATATAATATGTAAAAAAAATTATAGAGAATATAGTACAATACACATACATATATACATATGTATGTACGTATATATATATAATATATATGTATGTATGTATATAACGTATAATACACATGAGACATGATTAGGCTGTAAACAAAGATAACATTTATCAAATCGCCAACAAATGCACTTACATGATAACTATCCGCGTAAAATCTTATCGAAGAGTAGAAGTGTGTGTGTGTATCGTTTTTACAGCAAATTTTATGTTTATATATATATATATATATAATGAAAGACCACTTGATGATAGTTTTATGAAAAACATTTTTGAGTTATGAAAAAACCGTAATCGTAAATAGGACTACACACAATTGCGTTGCACAAGCTTTTATCGCAAAGCTGTAAAAAATAAAAAAAATGATTAGTGTTGTTTTCTGCCACAATAATAATAATATTTATGATTAACGTTTGCTTCGGCTAATCGCAGCGAGAGATTTTTTATCTAAAATGTAAGAAAAACTGTATCGGTTCAACAAATAACTGCGGCGGGCGTCCCACATATCTGGGATGTTCCTTCCGTTTGTTATATTTAAAATCCTGCACTTTTCTCTATTTTAACATTTAGGCGTGAGAGCCTAAAAAAGCCTCGTGTAACAAGATTGAGACACACAATCAATCTCAATAATATTAACACATTTAAACGACATCTTGTCAATATTATCTTTTCTGTAAGTTTTTTTTTGTTTTTTTTTGTTTTTTGCTTCTTTTGTTTTCGAGAAACTTGCATAATACATTAAACGTTCGGTGTCACCAACAATTAATAGAACTCTTCATTTGGTCCTCTATCGCGTATATATCGTCCGAGCATGGACATTAAATTTTGTATATGAACATTTCGCACGTGTCGTGTGAAGTCTTCGCTACAACACGATGTACCGCGTATTTTTGCTTATCATCCCCGATATAAATGATAACAACGAAGGAACCCGAAAGTCGATTTTTGCCCCCGCGCAGTTAGGGGAGTTCTTCCAGTCACACTTTGTCGTCGGTCAGTTCAAGAAACTGCGCGTAAAAGTCCCTGGTGCATTCACCTTTGTTGTTGAATACGAACTTGTAATAACTACCATCCGCGCATATCACTGCACAAAAAAATTGCAAACATGCACAAAAAATTGTTACGCGAGATATTTTGTACTTTATATACGTGTATAATACTGCCTTACCTATAATGCTGTTGTTATCTTGACCAAACGCGCACATGCACTGGGGACCACCTGGCACTTCAAATTTGCAAAAGCTCCAACTCGAACTAAAGTACTTTGGCAGGAACGTGGCGGAAGCTAAACTAGATTGGCGATTTAGTTTTTGATCTTCAACAGCAAATACATGTACAGTTCCGTGATCGCTTGCAACGCACAGCCACGTGGAATCGTGATTAAAATTTATACTGCAGTAAAACAAACAAAAAAAAAGTATACGTCAGTATGTCACGTAATATATATATAAATTTTTGTCGCATCTTATTATCGCGCGCTTACCAATAGATATTTGCGTGATTTGCTCCTCTTCTTAGTTCGTTGATCATATTACCGCTTTGTGTGTCAAATACTCTAATTAGAGTGCCTTTTTCCGAGGCGGTGGCTAATCTGGTGCCCTGTAGGTTTAAAGCTATGCAAGATAAAGGTGTTTCGTGAGCTTCTATGTTTAAAGGTTGCTTCTCTGTATTAGCCAAATCTATAACTGAAATATATATACCACAATTCCGATGTTACATGACACCATTTTATGCAAATCACAAATAAAATTATATTATAAATTCTCTGGTTCTCTCGATTTGTGTACAACAAATCTTCGTTTTTACCTTGAACGTGACCATTTTTACGTCCAGGAAAAGCAAGCAAGCAGTTGTTGCTATTTGGACACAAAACGCACAATCCTCGCGGATTGGGATTAGTCTCAAACACGTGCAATTGTTGCGGACTTTGCGTAAACGTGTAAACTTTTATTACACCTTCCAATATAACCACTATTCTGTCCCTTCGCAATTTCACTCCTTTTACAGGAGCATTAAATTCTAAGGTAATTGCCGGTAATTTCTTTATGTCATCCCATATCATAACTGCAATTATACACATACCATGTATTTAATTTATCTCTTTGTACTTTCCATCTGTTGACAATTGTTTGACATCATGGAATACAAACAGAAAACTAACCTTTATTTGTTGGATATATTGGTTTTGATCCGCCGCCAACCAATGCTAAATAATTACATCTGAAAAGCATTTCTACATAACCCAGACCTCCATCGCTGAAATCGTGTCTCTCCTTTTCCTTCAGCGGATCGCAATTGTAAACTCTGAATCCATTTTCCATGCCGCAAGCGAAACATCCTGCGAATAGAGAAATTATTACATCTCTTTTATCTTTTTGTCTATATCTTATTCACATATATTCACAGTAATAATATCCCATCAGAGACAAATTTCTTTCTGAATCTCTCCAGATGTGTTTTTATCACATGTTCTTTCCAAAGAAATAAAACAAACCAAAAATTGATATTATTTATTATTAAGAAGAAATTATTATTTAAGACAATTATTAAGGAGATCAGAGAGATGTAATAAAACTTCTTGACAAAAATCCATTACAAACTGTGTGAAAATGTAGTTGTGAGCAACTAAGAGAGTACACACGATCCACGCTGTGTTAGTTGCTCCAAACTGGCAAACTTAAGATTGAACGAGCGTTCAAAGAACAACAAGATTTTAAAAGTGATTTGACGTTACAGCGGTTAGCGAGCCGTCGATGGGGTTAACGCGTGGAAGATACCGCGCCTAACACAATTCGCGAAAGTGAATTATTCCCGATCGCAATGAACAATGTTTCAGCGATAAATCTGTTAGCGCGCGCTAATTGGAAACGTTGCCAAATATCTTGTTGCGTCGGCATCCGCGATCGACCACGTAAACAAAAAATAGCAGCGTACAGAGAGAGTCAGGTTAGACGCGAAAGAGGATTCGAGATGATGCGGTTCTCGGGACGAAACGCGTGCTGTCAAAAAAACCCCCCCAAAAAAAAAAAAAAAAAAAAAAAAAAAAAAAAAAAAAAAACAGGTGCAAGGAACAACGACTACCTTGATCCTGATTGAAACCGGCGTAGATCAAGCCATTGCCGTGCGGATTACCCGCCGTGAGGTTCATCATCGAATCACTGTATCGGAGAAAA